GAGGCATTATTAGATCAGAAAGCTGACATGCAATTTATTGATAATTCCGAATCTGCCATATTTACCATTATATGGTTAACTATGTCTTTGGATTTTTCACTATTTAAGGGGAAAAAATTTAATAGTTTTCTTGAAACATCCTTAATTTTGTTGAAATAGCGGAGGATCAATTTAAAATTTCTCTTAGATGCATCTTATAGAATTGCATATGTATGCCCATCTTTCAAACCGTCAAGAATTGACCTCCTGAATTCAGGTTCTAAAATATTGATGATATCCTTGCTCATTTTTGTTCTACAAGTAAAGTTTTCATTTATCTTTGAGTCATTAAATACTAGTGTTGTTAAAAAGCCGAGTTTTATCGGCTCCGGCCTCGAGGTCGTAGCCAAAAAATTTGCTCAGGCTCAAGCCGGCTCAAGATTTGGCTCAAGCCGGCTCAGGAGTTGGCTCAGGCCGGCTCAAGAGTTGGCTCGAGTCTTATTTTAAGCCAAGATTTATTTATTTAAATATGTTAAAACAATATAATATATATTTATTTATTTTTAAACATAATAATTTATATATTATGAAAATAGTTTATTGATTTGATGTTTTTTTTAATAAAAAAAATAATATGCTGCTATTGTTGTATTGTAATATTATTTTTTTTGTTACAATTTATTAGTGATTTTCACGCGCCCAAATTTTTAAGCAAAAAATATTTTTGAAGCTCAAAAATAATAAGAATTTTAAATTTTCATTTGATAAATTATTTGGAGAATTTTCTTATAAATAAACAATCTTTGAGGTGAAATCTTTTATGTTTTTTTAATCATCTTTGTAAAATTATCTATTTTATTGTGTATTTAAAGAGGTGGTTTTTTCTAAATAATTTTTAAAAATATTTATATTAAATTTTTTTATGTTATTTTAGGCCTGTCTAAAAAATATTTTTTTCCAATAAAAAAATTTTAAATTTATATAAAATCGGGCTGGGCGGAAAATTTATATATTGGGTCGGACTTTTGGAAACAAATTAAAAAACTTATTCCGGATAGGATATATTTTTAAAAAAATGGGCCGAGCTTGGCTTATTATCATTAAGTTGTGTCAAATTGAGATCTATATTGTAAAAATATTTCAAGAAACAAAGCACTAATATTTTTAAATTTATATAAAATCGGGCTGGGCGGAAAAATTATTTATATATCTGGTCGAACTTTTCGGAACAAATTAAAAAACTCGTTCCGGATAGGATAAATTTTAAAAAACTTTCAGGCCTGTTTTAAAATTAGGCCAGTAACATCACTAAATAGTAACATTTTGTCTTATATTTAAACGAAAAAAATAATCTGGATTCTGCAGTGTCAAAGTTTTACAAATTAACCAAAAATAATAAAAATTAATTATATTAGGAATTAAATAGAAATAAAGGAGCCATCATTAAAATAAAGAAACCATTGAACAAGGAAAAATTAAACCTTTTAATCTAGCGACAAAAACTAAAACTGATATTTATATTCCTCAAAATTTAAGAAAAATTAAATTCACTAATCGGATGCTGAGTCAATTAGCATATTGCCATAAACCTAAATTAAATTGAATTGCTAGTTGATTTAATAAAATAATATGCAGATTCAAATTTATGAAATCAAAATTGTTTTAATTAACAAAAGACTATGTATCTCGTTTAAGATTACAAATTTTAACAAAATTATGTAACTCTAACTACTTTTCTCCTACTTTTTAAAAAAAATAAATTATTTGAATTTATTTACTTTTTTTTACATAAACTAAAAAAGCATGGATTTTATTTTATAATAATATTAAATAATAATTATAAAAAATTTAATAATAAAAAAATATAAAAAATCTAACTTTGTAAAAAGTAAATTTCAAACAAATACAATTAATGATTTAAAATTTCTGGATGCTGCAACTCTCGTCTCGGGTGGTATATTATTTTTTTATGTTATTTATTTTTTTTAAAATAAATATAACATTTTTTTAAATGAATACTTATGTAATATTAAACTTGTGAATGAGTTTTGTCTAAATAAACATTTAATATCATCAGGAATTACAATATAGTTTAGTGATCTGCATCGGGCCTTATTTTTGAAACCCGGCCTGGCCCGAAATTTTTTTAATAAAATTTTGCCGACCCGGCACGAACCCGAAATTATTTATGAAAAAATTTACCGGCTTGGCCCTATTTATTATAAATATAGAAATTAGTTTTTATAAATAATTCTAAATAAACGATATATATATGTTATATGGCGTCTAGTTTCTATAAATAAAAACAAATATTTTATTTTGCATAAAAAATTCAACATAAAATTGATAAATTTAGATAAAAAAATTTATCAGGCCTGAGCACCACCAGGCCCGAATTTTTTAAAAAAATATTAGGCCTGTCCCAGCCCGAACCTGATTTTTTTTAAAATATAGGCCCGAAGCCCGTTCGGACCAGGTACTGGCCGGGCCTACTCTTGCAGATCTTTAATATACTTCGTGCAATATCATATTTATACTTCGGTAGAAAAAAAACAAAAGTTTGCTATACCGATGATAAAGTGTCGTAGACCTTTTTTAATTGTTATGATCTTCATTTTGGCTCAAGCCGAAATTTATTTAAGATTAGTATTGGTAAACGGCTGAAAACTCATCTAGTTTTTGAGTCTAAAATTGACTTAAGCCGGCTTTTTGAGTCAAATTTAGCTCGAGTGGGCTCATGACTTAGCTCAAGCGAACTATTGATTCGAAATTTATTTATTTGTTAGCATTGTTAAACGGCTAGCCGGATTAGCCTTGAATCGGCTTGAGCTATCGGCTGAGCAAGCCGGCTCAATGAGCCGGCTTGAGCCTGAGCCGAATTTTTGGCTCAAAAACTGGCTGAGTTTTCGGCTAAGCCGGCTTGGCTCAGCCATTTAACAACACTATTAAATACTGTGGGGAAAGATTTTGCGCACATTGTAATAATAAGTAGCTCTGTGAATGTTGTACTACAAGATAAGTGATTACAATTGCCACAACTAAAGTTGCATCTGTATTATTTCTTATTTTTGGAGAATATTTTTGTTTTTCACTCTCCTGCACTGATTATAATAATGTGATTGAACAATAATAAATAAAATCATTATCATCGAAATGAGTAAAATATTACCTTATAATGTATTTAAACGTGATACGTGATAATTAAGCGCCTCTCCCTATAATGTTATATACACACACAAGGCAGATTTCCAATTGCGGATGTTTTGCGGGACATTCGCATAAAATATATTTTTTACATTGTAAAATTAAAATCGTTTGTTTTTTTATAAAATTTTATCTTGTTTACATTATTTTATATTCAAAAAGGATCGTTGGTTTTATTATAGATTAATAATATTTTAATAAATCAAGATGTTATTTTATTTTGAAAAATAGTTATCGACATTGTATTTATATAAACTATTTATAAAAAATAATAGGCGGATAATCAAGTCAATTCTAAATCCCGACCGAAAGCCGGGCCCGCAAAATTTTTTTTTTTAGCAATTTTTATATTTCTACCGCAATTTTCATATTTCTCTTGCAAAATACCATTTTTCTCCCGCAATTTGAAAATTATGACCTGGCAACCCTGCTTGTAAGTCGTATTTTAGACTATCCATATCAAAATATAATCAGCGCTAGAATATCAGGCGAAAAACTACTTCCTTGCTTTATTACTACTTTTAAAGTGATATAATTATTAATATGCAATGTACTTTTGTTGGTATTTAGTTTTAGATCAACCATATCAAATATCATCCAAAAAGTTCTATTTTATACAATGATAATCATTGATTTTATATTTAGATTTTAAAAATAATTCAAGATAAATTTATTAATATAAAGATAAATTAATGTGTTATTTTGGTATTCTGTATTTTAAAATGTCTAGTTTTAGATAAACTATATTATAATTATAATATTATCAATGTGTGACCTACTGTACTAAAAATTTTTTTGTAATATTTGGATAAAAATAATATATTACGTCGTAGTGAGGACATTCTATAGTGAGGGCATGACATTACGATGACATGACGTAGCGAGGACTTCGGAAAATTATAATTTTCCATAATAGTTTTTACCTAAAGTCGGTGCCACAATTTGGGGTCTTCATAAGCCAAGGGTTCCCTTTTTAAATCGGCAAAACAAAAATTGTATTGGGAATCTCGCCCATATCCTTTAGAAATAGAGCATTATTGAAAATAATATTAATAAATCTAAAGTTAACATATTTATATAAATTTTTTTTAAAAAATCGCTAAAAATGACAGAAATATTATCAAGATTTTGTATCGACCAATGACAATCTCTCCCATATCCTTTAGAAATAGAGAATTATTAAAAAAATAAATAAATCTGAAGTTAGCTTATTTTTATTAAGTTTTTTTAAAAAATGGCAGAAATATTATTAAAATTCCCAAAGTTTTTATTTGAATAGGGGCTGCAGATTGGTGTGTTTTTTTTATGATATGTCAGATTTGCCAGAGACAGAGTTCACTCTAAATTACTCTCTTTTTTAATTTTTTACGGATGAGTACAGAATTAAAATTTCAACATGTCAATAATTTATATCTTTAACTTAACAAATATTAAGTAACATTTCAAAGTTAATCATTTTATTTTAGCTTACAAATTTCTGATACGATTCAAATGGAAAGTGAATATAGCAATTCGTTATTTTGCCATCAATTATTTGTCAAAGGGGATTATGAGGAATGTTTAAAAAACTTAATGCTTTTATCACAAAAATATCCTAATGATGCAAAAATTATTCATAACATAGCAGTTACTGAATTTTATGCCTCTCAAACTTCAAAAATTGATCAACTTAGAGAAAATTTAAAGAGAGCTTGTTTTTTAGTATGTAATTTTAATTTAATTAGTAATTTATATAAAAACAGGCAAATGCAAATATTGATGATATTAATACATTTACTCAACCAAATCAAGCTATTTTTTTCCTAAATAATGCTATTCTTATGTTCTACTTGAAGCAATTTCATCATGCATTAGCAATTGTTGAAAGACTCTTTAATACTATATTTTACTTAGGTATTTTACACAGATATATCTTTTTTATATATAATACAATTATTTTTTTCCATAAAATATAAATATTTTACCATTTAGATTCAAAATTAGGTTTGCAGATATGTCTCTTGTTGATTGAGTTATACATATCTACATTTTATCCTGAAAATGCCTTAAAAATTATATATTTTACTGATATTCTTATGTTTGGCGTTAATCATGAGAATGACAATACACAAAATGATGAAACAAAAAGAGATACATATTATGAATGTTTTAAACCAAATTCTTGGAAGGATAATGAATTCAATATTAAAATAATATTATTTGAAAATGGAATTTCTTTAAACCATAAATTTGATGATGCTTACCATGGAATTGTTTCTTCTAAATATAAATCAATGTATAAATCAACTCTAGCTCAAGTAAATATTATTTTTTCCTAATAAATCCCTTCATAGAGAGGAATTAAAGTATCTTGTGTAAAATTATTATTATTTTTATTATGGACTGGAATTTAAATTTTAGTAATAATTATTTTGACAACTATTAAATAAATTTATACTTATTTATTTAAAACAATAAACCTAGTACAGAATTAAATGCCATATAATGCTGAAAAACATGAGACAATGTAAAAAGGAGGTCAAGAATTTAGCCAATTTATATGTACATAATTTATACATGATAATAAATAGAATATTGTATACATGATCATTCATTATTCACATTTTGTATTTTGCAATAATATATCTAGGCAAATGAAACATACAATTTTATTAATTCAAAATGTGTTGTAATCAAATTTTATTTTAATTCCCATCTTTGGCATATTACAATTAAAAATTACATCTTAGAGTTTTATATTTAAATCAAATTCATTAATTTTTATAATTACCCAACAAGCAAGGATGAGGATATTAGTGTTGTTGGCTTGACATGAGCAAATTTTTAAAAATGGCTAAATCAATATTTCAGCCAGAAAAAAATATTGTTTAAGCCTAGAGATCTTGCTACTAGATGTCCAAACCATTGTATCATCTATGAGCAAAATCTGTGTTATATTTTTCTGGATAAATATGGAGTTAATTGGCTCAAATCGAGCTGTTTAACAACACTAATGAGGATGCTATTATGCATGCTTAATATTTAAAGAATCAAATTTTAATTAGATTTTCTTTTATTGTTTTCATTTTTTGTTAGGCAAATGGTGTTACCTCCATTCCTAGAGGTCCTAACCTACCTAATGCTGCCTATTTCAAATCTGAAAATGAATATATGAAGGGCAATTATCGAAAATCTTTAAAAATTTTGAATCTCTCAAATAACTCTAGTTTCAATTCTAATCCAGCTGAGAGTAATCAAGAAATTTTTAATGGTTTTAATGTGGAAATTATATTAGTGAATAAGTTCCTGTCTTCTTGTTATTACAATGACTTAGCCTCCAACCACTTATCACTCAATAAACCTCATCTCAGTGTATTTTATTGCCGGAAAGCTTTGCAAGAAAATGAAGACCTTATAGGGGAATTTCCAGAGTTTGATAATAATATGAATTTAACTAATACAAGTGGTTTGGGAAACCAATCTAATATTTATGGGCCCAAGATGCACAATGGTAAAAAAAAGTTTTGTTTTATCTTATTTTATCTATGATCAAAATTTTTGATATTTATATTTTTATTGTATATTTCAAGATAGAGGCTAGCAAGGGCTAAGCTCAAGCCTAAAAATAATTAAATATTTGGACCAGACTTAAGCTTAAAATATATAAAAAAAATTTTGGCCAGGCTTGGGCCAAAAAAATTGAATTTGTAGGTAATTTTTATGAATATAATTATCAGAGACCTGCAGAGGTACCATTTGCATGGCCTGGACCGGCCCGGATATTTTTTAAAAAAATTTTTTACGGCCCGGCCCATATTTAAAAAATTTCAGGCCCGGCTTGGAATTTTTTAAAATTATATTCGACCTGGTATATACAAAAATTCACCTATGAGGTATTTTACCATATTTTTCAGCGAGTAATATCGCTTATTATTTAAAAAATACATGTAAAAAGCTAATATTTTGAGAATATTATATTGAATTTATAAAAATTATAAAACTGTTATTTATAAAAATGGATATTTTGAGTATATACTATATTTTATATTGCAATTATAAAAATAAAACTAATATTCATAAAAATGGTAATAATATTTGTCATATACTATATTTTATATTACATTTAAAAAAAATAAAACTAATATTTAATTTATAAAAATGGAAAATATTTTGAGAATATAATATATTGTATTTAATTTACTATTTAATTTACAAAATAAAAATAAATCGCTATTTAAAAAAATGCATGTATAATAAGTAGTATTTTGAAAATATAATCTAATTGCACAATATTAATATAATTTATTTTATAATATAAATTTTTAACAAAAGAAGATAATTGTATTATATAATATTGTAAAAAAAAATAATGAAAAATGTTGGATTAAAAACTTTCATGACTCAAGGTAAATATAATAAATGCAATAAATATTTGACAGTTTGCAAAGTAAAAAACCAGCATGATTGACGAAACTCTATACTCAAGAAAGATATTAAAAATTCACAAATTATGAAGAAAGAGAAGCATATCTACCTTTTCAGGTTGAAGATTACTTCTTCTTTCTTCAAGAATTCTCCCAGTAGTGGAAAAATTCCGCTCACAGCTTGCACTTAAAGCAGGAATTGCCAATTTTGCTAAAATTGGAAATTCGCTTTGATGAGCCGCCCACCACTCTAACAAATTATCCACCTTAAATGTTTTATCTATTATTTATGTAATTATAATATTCATCATCGAGTATTGACCTATTACCAGAATTACCATCGCCCCATTTGTCATAAAACGATTCAGTTTGTTTAACAACAGTCGTAATTTGACTGGTCGATTTTATTTCATTTACTACTTCCTGAGCCTCTTGTAATTTAATATAATCTTTTATATAGTTTTCCGTCATTTTGCGATCTGTCCCTGACTACATACGTAATTGCTTGAATTTGGGACAGAGAAAAAGAGAAATAAAATGATACTTGTGTAAAACAAATTTTTCCATTTGTTTTAGTAAAATATGTTGTAAAAATTTAGATATGAATTATAAAAAAATATATTAATACTTTTAATAAATTTGCAGGAAATTAATAATTAGATCGATCTGTGGGTTGTTAGGTAGTGTTAACCATCACCCAATATTATATTAATCATAACTATAATATAATATAATCTTATAACCATTAACTCATAATGTAAAAATTTTTATAAAAAATATTAAGGCCCGGCCCGGCCCGGGTTTAACAATCTTAAGCCCGGCCCGGCCCGCCCCGGGTATATTTTAAAAAAAAATTTTTAGGCCCGGCCCGGATATGTTAAAAAAAAATTTTTTTAGGCCCGGCCCGGGTATATTTAAAAAATTTAAAATACAGCCCGGCCTTGCCCGGGCCGGGTTTAGGGCCGGGCCTGCAGGTCTCTGATAATTATATATAATACTAATATCTTCAATCATAGGCCAGAGATTTGCAGGCCCAGCAGTAGTTTTAATTTTTTTAAATATACCCAGGCTGGGCCTAAAAAAAAACCAGGCCAGGTTGAATATAAAATCCTCTTGCCATGCAAATGGTAGCTCTGTAGGTGCTGAACTAAGCCTTACAAATTTACAAGATTTCAAGAGCTGTGTTTATCTTTATGATTTCTTAAGGCACTTTATATTAACTTTTTGCTAATTTCTCATTTTTGCAAACATTAAATTTCGTAAGTTTGTTGTTGGGCTTATGCTAACCTTTTAATTTGCCTTTAAATCAAATTTTAAAATAAATATTAAGAAATAGGGAGGAAATATTGGTATTTGTCGGGAAGGGTTAGACACCTTACTTATAAAAAATTAACGGTTATCGTTATTCAAATAAATATCACTATAAGTTACCACTGTTATCTCGAGAAAATGGTTAACAGTTACGTTGCCGTTATTCAAGAAATGTAAAGGTTACAAAAAGATTTTTGTTACATAATTAAAAATAAGAATAAATAAAATTCGAAAATATGAGAAAGATCATTTTTCTGTAAAGTCTAATATAAATCAAAATAAACGGAAGTTAGTTTACAATTTTAGAGGCCGCCAAATTTTTTTAAAAAATAAAAAAATTTGTGTCCACTACATACAGGGCATTATCTCAAAAATCTGTGTATGAATTTTGAAAAGAGGTTTGGTATGTCTAGCCATAAGTAGTATAATAAAAAATTTGATTTATATTTTAGTAAAAAAAAATCATTTATTTAGTTAAGAAATTTGATTTTTTTTATTTTAATTTTCTATTTATAAATAATCTTTAAAAACAATTTAATTAAATTTTATATTAGCAAATAAACAAGGTAGTCTGTGAGTAAAAAAATATAAAATAATTTATCTAAAAAGATTTCTATTAAATGACTATTTTGATAAATATTTGATCTATTTTCTCGTAAAAGTCCTGTTTTTGTAGTTGTAATCTCTATGAGGCACTTTTTGGATATTCTGATAGTTTATTTTAAAATAAAAAAGCTTACATCATAGTCTTCATTTAATACATAGAACCTACTGGTGGGCACACTTTAAATTACTCTTATCTAGATTGAGTTATTATTATATATAAGATAGATTTGACTATTAAATGTTTAATTTATTATATGCTATATAATATGCTAGTTTCAGACGCTTATAAAATGACAAAATTGCTTAATATAAAAATACTATTTAGTGAATTGTTGAGATGCCATATAATCTGTTGCCACAGATTATATCTGCTAGTTAGTGACAGCACGATCATTATTATTTGCAAAATCATTTTTTGGCATTCAGCGAATATATATTTTCTTTTCTGTTTCGACTCAGTGGTGTCAAATTTTGAAGGATCATATAAATAATTTTACATTAAAGCCGTTATCTAAAACACATGGGAGTATAAGGGTCATTAGTAATAGACGTATCCGAAAAAACTAATGACCCCAAACTCTGCACAGAAGCCATTTCATTGACTAATGATTGGTAACTCTTGTGGTCTGGTTTGATATATTAACCCATGTGAATTTAATAAGTAAGGCCTGCAAAGTGTCAATATTAATTAAGAAAGAGCTATTACAACTTTAGAAAGCACGCGAGATTTTTTAGGCTTTAAGAAAAACGGCTTTCAGAATTCCTTTGACTCAGCAAAAGAGCTTTCACGGGAATTGGAAATGAGTATAGAAAATCAGTGCTTTCTTTCAACATTAATTCGAAGATGGAAAGTTCAAAAACAATTTTCTTAGAAAGGAGATGACGTGCCTATACATGATTCTTAAAAAATATGAGATTGAATTTTTCAATGTATATCGTTGGAGGAACTTTTCCAGCAGTTAAAGCTCTTTAAGGATCTTTTTAGATTCTTATTAAATATACTAAATTAATGCGCCTAAAAGAGAGCGAAATAAAAAATATTGACAATTAAATATTTTATTAACAAATTGGGGTACATTAGAATGGTATATTAATCTGCAAGATTTATTAATTGAATTGAAATTAGTAAGTATATTAAGCAAGCATCCCATAAAAACTCCATTGGAAATTTTACGCTATATTAACACTAATAGGTTAAACGAAGCCTTACAAAATATATCAATTGTATTAAAGATTATTTTAATTATTTCAAATACCGTGGCATCCGCAGAACACAGCTTCTCAAAGCCAAAATTAATTAAAACTTGCCTACGCACAGGATCGACTTGTTAATATCTATTTATTTTAATAGAAAATGATATCGCCTCATCTTTAGATTATAATCACATATTATTCTCTTTTGCGGTATAAAGGCAAGGAGGATAAATAAAATTGCAATATTTTAGTATATGATTATATTCATTTTTTAATGTGCGTTACTCGCCTATGATTAAAATTTATTAAATATATGCTTTTAGTTCTTATTGCGAAAATAAGCCTATGTAAATTGTGTTTTTTTAAGGGGCCGCCTATTTTTTGCCCTGGGCCAATTCATATTATTTACATATAATATTTAGCTGACCATCAATCCCCGTCCCATACGACAAACTCTTATCGTTCGCTCAACACAGGTAAGAGTTTACCCCTTTTCATCTACGACAAAAGACACGAACTATTACACAACTTGGGCATTCACTTGCTTCACGCTAAAAAACCTCTGCCGGCCTTCGATTGTTTAATCGAAATAATACAAGTATATCACTGCAACCCCAGGATTTGGCTTCGATTATCAGAGTGTTGCATAGTGGCCAGCAAAGGGGTATATATCAATTTTTTGTTAGAAGTCTAATAGCTGAGCAAATATATAAATATTTAGAATATCCTTGCCTATTCTAACGAAATCTTTTATTATATATCGAATTCTTTTTTATGGGAAAAGAGAGAGTTAATACAAAACGAAACGATTCATTTTTTTCTCTTCAATTTATTAGGGTAACGAAGAAAATTTTAGTCTCAAACGTAAACTTCAATCAGCCGTTCAGCATATCATGGGCTTTGGTATACACCGAAAGACTATACTAATACCATCACACCCTTTAAAGTATAAATATAATATATCTGATGAACGGGCATACCTTCCCCAAGTTTATTCTGGGCAAAAGGCCATAAACCGTCCTCTAAGAATATAAATTGGCAAACTACAAAGTGTGAAATAAATATATAATAAAATAACTCAAACGTTTCTTTGTTATGTAACTATCTAAATAAGGTTGAGCATTCTTTCGGAATTAAAAAAAGGATGGAAAAAATATAAATGATTATGAATGAATGCAATAATTAGAGGAAAATTGAAATTAGAAATATATAAATTCTTATTCATTTAAGTTTATTCCCGGTTTACTTTAGTGGTCCAGTTTTTTCCACACTCCTCTTTATTTTCTATTATTAGGTGCTAGTGGGTGCGACCCATTCAAAATCAGAAAGAAGAAAAAAGAAATAGATATATATTATTAATATTTTTTTCTCTAACTCTTTGTTTTAGAGATAAATTGCAACTTTTCTTAATAAAAAAATAATTTTAGGTCAGATAGCCATCAATCATCAGCAATGCCTATGGCCACTCTTGAATTTGCTTCTTTATGTCTCAAAAATGCACAATTATTGATCGAACAAATGTCCGAAAATTATGATGTCAATCAACTAGGTATTTTTTTTAAAACAATTGCATGGTTTATATTCTATTGTATTTCATTTTATTTTACCTTATATGTTTAAAAACAACCAAATTTTTTTTAAGGGTTAGGCATTTAAATTGCGAAGCATTTAATTTCTATTTTCTTGTAGGAGAACGTTTATTCAACATGGCGCCATCTAATCCCATTAATGAGGACGAAGTTCACGTTTTGAAGTAAAATAATATAAAATATTTATATTTTTATGCATCAATTTATATTTCCAACATAATAAAAAAATTAATTAGCCCCCCCCCCCTATAGCGAATTCTTGCGTATGTGCCTGAATTGTATAATCGATGCTTATTGCGATACTGCATTAAATTCTTTTTTAAAAATATTAAACGTATGAGTGTGATTTATTTAAAATCCATGTATATAGATTAAAATTTTCTTTTTTATGTACGATGACTTATTCTTCATTGTATCAAATGCTATATTTTGGGCATAACTAAAAAAGAAATACTATTAAACATAATTATTGATACATAAACTTTTAAGGATTAGGCACAACACTTAAATATTAGACAATAGATTTTGTTTAAAATAGACAATGGGCTTTTCTGTTTATAATTTTCTCTTTATTATTAATATCCTATATATATCATAAAAATACAATTACAATTTTTTTTAAAAACAAAAACGAAGATAATAATAATGTATTCTTTTTTTTAAAAACAGAATTAATTATTTATATAAAAAAATAAATAATATATTTTAATAATATAACACAAACCGCTTATCATTTTTTACAACGTGAAAAGATGTTCTATTCTTGCTGCTTCCGCTTACGTTCAACTCTCTCTTGGTGACTACTATTCAGCTTTAGAGCACTCAAATTCCTTGATTAAAATCCTACAAGCAAAAGGCGGTTCTGTTGTTTTGAGCTACTTAGCCATGCTTTACGCATCTGAAAGCTTGATACTTAAGGATAATTTGAGACTAGCTTTACCTCATTTGGAATTCGAAGCGGTATATCTTACACCCTGTATAAGGCGATTCGAGGAATATTTACATAAAGTTTAAAATTCTTTCTTTAAAAATTCTTGCTACACAATGTGTAATTTTTTTAGAGAGCTTATAGATTGAATTGAATATAGGTAAGTAGTTTTAATGAATTATTAGATGTATACATTTTATTTAGATTTTGAGTTGTATTTTACACAGAATGGCATCGTTTAGACTAGAAGCAATTATAGATGTGTAATCGGCTTAGCCTAGGCGTTTTTTTCTGCTAAAGCTGCCCTTAGCCGATTTATTTTGGTTATGGCTAAGCCTTGTTCGATTTATTTTGGTTATGGTTAAGTCTTAGCTGATTTATTTTGGCTATAACTTAGTTTTCGCCGATTTATTTTGGCTAAAGCTAAACCTTAGTCGATTTTTTTTGGCTAAGGTTAAGCCTGAATTAATTCTAATCGGCGTCCGTCAACGTTCATAGGATATGTTTAGCCTAAATTACTATTTATTTATTTTTATAAAATTATTTTTATATATTTATTTTTATCAAAATTATTTATATATATTTATTTTTATTAAAATTATTTATATATATATATTTCTTTTATTTATATAATATTTTCACTTTTAAAAATCAGGAGCAGGAGCAGGAATTAGCTCCTCTTAGGGCTGGAGTGATGTAGTGCTGCTCCACCCCTCTTTTAAATTTAGTGTATAAATTAAATTATTTTTTAAATATTAATAAATTAAATTATTTTTTATTAATAAATTAAATTATTTTTTAAATATTAATAAATCTATTTATTTATTAAATAAAATTCAATAAAAATGAAATTTTATTTTATTTAAATTTATGCAATATTAAATGTTGAGCTGAGTTTTATATTGGTTTTTTTTTAACTAATCATTAAACATCAAGTTTTTCTTCCTTTTTATATTGAAAATTTCTTGGAAAATATTGTAAGTCATATTAATATTTATTTTATAAATATATGATAAAAAAATAGTTTTTGATATTATGGATCCATATATCACAGAAGAGGAAATCGAAATAAAAAATGAATTATCTATTTAAATAACTTTATTGCAGATTTTCAAATGTTTATGATGATAAAAATATCATTGCTGCTATTATCCATCCTGCATTCAAATTATATTAGGAATGGATAAAATGTTCACAAGAAATGAAACTATAAAAATTAATTAATTTTTTAGAAAATAAATTCCTAATGCAAAAATAGCTACTAGTTCACGGGAACCTTGCAATGATTTGGAAGATTTTTTTGGATTCCATGAAATTGATCATCAGAAAGATAATATAATTGGACAAATATTTTTTAAATAATGATATAAAAATTACTATTTTTGATAAATTTCCTGAATTAAAAATATTTTTATAAAATACAATACCCCGCTTCCTTCTACTGTTGAGGTTAAGCACCTGTTTAGTATTGCTAAACAGGTTTTAGGGGGGGAAGCGTGGATGTTTATTAGATTCAAATTTAGAAAATTTAGTTCATTTAAAAGCTATTAAAAGTTTAGAAATTATTTGATATAAGTTTTAATATAAATAAAACTTTCTTGATAAAAAAAGTATGATTTTGTTTCGGGTACCTTCTAAAAAAATGAAAATCAAAAAAGCGGCTATGGAGTGGCACTCCATTACTAGGAGCGGGAGAGCCCCTTTTAAAAATGTATTTTTAAACTTATTTTAATTTTTTGACGTAAATGAATAAAAATATGTATTATAAACATTTTAAATTAAAATTTCAGTGAAGTTAAACTATATAAAAGTGAGATTTTTTATATACGTTATAACATATTTAAATTTTTTTGACTTTCAAAAATATGTATTGTTAACATGTTAAATTAAAATTTCAATGAAGATATGAAGATATACTATAGAAAAGTGACATTTGTCATAATCGGTATTTTTAAACCATTTTAATTTTTTTTGTCGCAAATAAGTTAAAATATAATTGTACATGTTAATTAAAATTTCAATGAAGATATACGATATAGGAAAGTGAAAATCGTCATATCGTTTTTCTTAAACTTTGCCAATTTTTTTGAGAGATTATTTTAAAAGATATTTTAAAATTTATTGAAATTATAATTTAGAAAATTGACAATTGTCATAATCTTCTTCGTTCTTATATTAGAATTAGATATTATACCACTATTTATGTCCTGACTAATGGATGTAAAAAAAATGCCAATGTGTCCTTGTATTTGGGGAAAAATCTATATTTAACACATGTTTATAAAATTTAAAATCTTAACATTGAATTGATAGTATGTTGATTGTACTGTTTATATCATTGACAAATAAAATTCATATGATTTTATTCTTTTCATAAAAATCTTACCTTGCATTCATAGCTAACTCGAATTCGCGGCGAAGTATACAAAAATTAATTATAGATTATTATATTTATATCGTGTATACTTCGCGAATTCGTGCTAACTGTGAAGCAGGGTATACATTCTGATATATGTAGAATTAAAATTGATTAATTAAAGGAATAAGATTGCGAATCCATTTCTTTTAGATAATTCAACCAAGAGATCCTTTAATTTGAACACCATCATTATAACTTAAATCTCTAATTAATTACGGAAATTAATTTACACTTTAATTGAATATATTCTTATTATACAATTTACATGAATTTCAACCCTCTTTACTTACTTTTCATATTTTTTCAAACTTTAAGTAGCATATAGAAGACGATGATTATGTCTATAAAAATTTCCTTACTTTTTTCGATAAATGTACCAGCATATTTCTCAAAAAATATTGTGGAAATGTTTAAAAACGACAATTATGACATGTTACTTTCCTGATTAAAATTTTAATAAATTTTAACAAAATATTTTTTTAAAATAATTTCTTAAAAAAATTGGAATAGTTTAGGAAAGACGATACTTTCCCATAGCGCATTTTATAATAACATGTTAACAATACATATTGTTGCTAATTTGCATCGAAAAAAATTCAAATTTATTTGAAATTAACTATTATAACAATTGGTAGATCTTCATTGAAATTTTAATTTAACATGTTAACAATACATATTTTTGCCTATATGCGTCAAAATAATATAAATATGTTTGAAAATATCATTATGACAACTGTCATTTTTTCCGAAGAACATCTATGTTAAATTTTAACATTTTTGCAATATATCTTTGTAACCATTCGCGTTAAAAAATCAAATATGTTTAAAAATATCTATTATCACAACTGTCATTTTTCCAAAAAAAATATCTTCATTGAATTTATAAATTAACATCTTTACAATATATGTTTGTAACAGTTTGTGTCAAAATATTTCAAAAATATTAAAAAATAACGAATATGATAATTGTCATTTTAAAATATTATCCTTAAAAAATAACAAAAAAATTTAATAAATAAATATATTTCTTAAAAAAATTATATAGAAAAAACCACCTTTAATATACATAAAAAAGAAATAATTTTACAAAAAGGATCAAAAAATATAAAAGATTTCACCTCAAAGATTCTTTTATAAAAATCACAAAAAAATTCAAAAAAGATTTAACATTCTGGTCAAATCAAAATATATGCTCAAAAATCTTTTTGAATTTCAAAGATATCTTTTGCTTAAAATTTTGGACGAAAAATTCATTAGTAAAATGTAACAAAAACAATATAACAAAGCAATATCAACATGAAATCTTTTTTATTAAAAAAATATCAAATAAATAAATCAATTTTGATAACATAATCATATTTAATTTCATATATAATAATATAAATAAAAAATATTAAATCATATAATATGTTTATTTTGATAATAATAAAATATTATTAGCAATAAGTATAAAATTATAAATAAAATAAATAAATAGTAATTAAGGCTAGGAATATCTTACGACACGCTGATGGACGTTAGCCGATCAGAATTAAATCGGCTCAGGCCTAATCTCCCCCCCCCCCCAAAAAAAAAAAATCAGCTATTATCAAACTATACCTGCAATAGACAATGTTATCGATGTATACCTCTTTTAAAAGATACCCTAACATTTCTAAATTCAATTTGAGACTTCAAAAATATTCTTATTTAAACTAACTTTTTTCCCCCTTACACTGTTTTCACCTGAATGATAAAAGTTAGCGCTCCAATTGTTCAAAGTATCATATTATATGCCTTTAGATGATAGAAAATTTTTCATATTAACCAAGAATTATGGTTAGAATTAGAAACTAAAAAAAATATTAATATTTAAAAGTAAATTCTAAAAAAAAACAATGTTAATTTAGATGCAAATAAAGACTAATAAGGATAACCAGCCTCTTAACAATGCTGTTGATGATACTAAGCCTCAGCAAGAACGGCTTGTAAAGTGGAGCCTTCTGCCTATCTTGTTCAAAAATCTCAAAAACTGTCGATCTAGAACTAATTCTGCTAATGGCGATAAGATGAATCTGTCGGCAGATGATAGTGGGGACGGTCACATGAGTAGTATTAAAGGTTTTAAATGCTTATTTTTTACAACTAATAAATTCCACGTACTTTAAAAAGATTCAAAATTCATAGTTACAAGTTTTAATCCAAATAAAAAACACTTTAAAATTGAATAGATGCTCTCCTTTAGCTAGAACCTAATTGTAGCGATTGAGCATTTCAATATAATTAAATCAGAGACCTACAGAGGTACCATTTACACGCCCCGACCCGGATTTTTTAAGAGAATTTTTCGGCGTGGCTCGGGGTTTTCTAAGATACATTACAATTATTTTTAACTATTAATTGCAATTTAAAATATTCGGTTTTAAAATATACCACCCGGCCTGACCTGGGTATTTTTTAAAAAGAAAATTTTAGGCCAGACCCAGTTTATTAAAAAATACGGGCTGGTCAGTGTACTCGGGCTTAGGGCCGAGTCTGCAGGTCACTGAAACAAATATTTACATGGAAACTCTTAATCGATCCAATTAGGCTCTTGCACATGTGTTGTTAAAATAAATAATAAAAATAAAAACATTTAAATTTATGCTTCTATTTTTAAATATGAATTCATTTTTTATTTTTGAATAGGATATTGAAATTATAACATAACAAATAGAATCTTTTTGAAATAACATTAATTAAAATAGTTCAGAAATGTTTTTATATATGTTCTCAGCAATGTGTTATTTTTTCAACTTTAAATCATTTCTTACGTTTTTTATAATTTTAAAATCTGATTTTACCAGAAATGTAGTCCACTATGATTGGAATATATACCCTATGAATTTCAGATTATTTTGCCATGAACTTTTGAATTTATATAAAATATCTAAATTTTAAAAATGACCCAAAATTGATTATTTATTATAAAAAAAATTTCTGAACAAATTATATCTTTATACTTGTTGTAGCTGTTGAAAAAGAGAAGAAATAAATTTAATTTAATACATCAAATGTCACAAATGTCAGTTATTTTCTGACAGGGGAATTCAGTTTTCCTGGTGGATGGAGGGAAAACGGGATCATCACATGGGTTGTTGTTAAAAAAGAGTCCTTTGTTGCTATTTGGAATGATATTGGATTAATTGGAGGATGTCAGCTGGGAAGAACAAAGAATGGAGAAGATTCAACTATTTTTATAAATATGAAATCTTCTGATAAATATAATTATGAATAAATATGGATCTTCGTTAATACTGATCAAGTTATTTTTTATTAATCATATTATTTTCTTTACGGAACAAAAAAATAATGATCAATTTTTTCAAATAACGATATTCTATCATTTATACTCACTAAAATATTAAATTTTATAGTGATAAAAATGAAAAAAATATACTGAACATTTCGTAAAAATATTGGAGGTTCCAATTATTTTCCTTTTATCAATACGATAATAATGACCACAATAACGACTAGTACACCATGCTACAATCTTAGAGTCATGGGTATTTACCTCGTCAGTTTCGTCTGGCGGCTTAAATTTACATGCAACATATTCGGAAAGTTATAATATATACAAATACAAGTTTAAAGCCCCAATTTTCAATAGCACATGTGATTCATGAGTTGCATATAGTAAGAAAAAATTTTTAGTCTAATGGTCAGAAGATGAAGTTAGACTTGCAAGCCGACCTGAAACCCAGCCATTTATTTTCATAAAAATGAGCTTAAGTTATATTTATTAATTAAAAGTTTTGGCCTGACTCGAGCCTAAAATAAAAATTCGTCTGGGCTCGATTAATGAAAATTTGCTAAAAAATAAAATCTGCAGGGCTCTAGATGGAGTTTTTTCAAGTAAACTGATAACTTTAAACTGTGAAAAAATTGTCCTGACCAGCCTTGTCCTAGCAAAACCAGATATAAATATTTTCGTTTATTTAAGCAATTAAAATTATTATTTTTTACTACTTCTTTTTTCGGACCGTGTTGCATAAAAATAGTCAATTAAGGCCTGACGAGCCAAATTTTATTCGACCAAATTTTAACTACCCCAAGCAAGGACTCGAACCGAACCGTTTAACCGGTATTAACTATTATTATTTAGCGTACCTGAACCGTTAAAAATTTGCCGCCCTAACCTCTAAAATGTCTGTAAAACTGGGTTGAACCTTTTGATATTTTAACTCTTTTAAAGATGCTTAATCAGTTTTGACTGATAAGTAGTGTTGTTTAACGACTCGTTTTGAGCCGATTTTTATAAACGGCAAACTCAATATTTTATCCAGAAAAATATTACGCAAGCCTTAAGAGTTTGTTCATAGATGGCATTTGAGCAACTATTAATAAAATCTGGTTTAGAAATCGGCTCAAATCGAGCCGTTTAACAATACTAATAATAAGTATTAATAATTATTTTTAGATGTTTTTGTATATTGCTATTTGACGGCACCAGCTACCATATTCAAGTTAGCATATAAAAGTGTTCTCATGTGTAAAATTTATTTTCCTTCTTATAGAAGAATCTTGAAAATAATTGTATACGGCTCAATATTATTTTTTAAAAAAATGTTCTTTTCTTACATAATTCTAATACGCTATACTAAAAGATTTGGTCGATTTTTAAAGGTTCAACTTGAAACGATATTATTTCTTACGAACCAAACCTGATTCACGAGCCATTATTTACATCCGAACCGATATTCGTTATGGGATTGATCTTTGCTGATAAGCAACAACTGGGAAGAATAAAAGTTATTACTTCAATACATCTTATTTTTCAAATGAAATTATGAGAAAAAAATACAATTTTGATTTAAGGTTTAGACACCCTTCTACCATTGATCTCTCCTTTTAATTGGACGCCCCATGATACTACTTCCGCAAAACTCGTGATGCATTACAATTTATGTGTGTGCTATGCTTTGTTGGGTGAATTTGAGAAGGCTTCCCATATGCTTAGAAACAATATTCCCTTTAAATCCCCCAACGACCTTCCTTCACAATTTATAGCACTGGCCCTATATTTGGCTATCAAACAAGGTTAATTTCTTTTCTTTATATAAAATTTGTCAGTTACCCTTTTTAGATATGTGTTCGCTACAGATAGCTAACTTATTGCTTACCATTTATGCTAATTGTCTCTAGTAAAGATTTTTTAGGTTTAAAATTATAAATTAAATGACTCAATTTTAAAATTAAATTATGTGCTCTTATATTTTTATATTTTATTTATAAAATAATAGGCCATTTGGACATAGCAAGAATGATTATACTCCAGAATTTTTCTCAAATACAATATTAGACCTTTTTGATTTATATATTCTGTTATTATATATATAGAACTATTTATATTTTATGCCTTGTAAATTTGTCTAATAAAATTATCTATATGCAAATTTTACCTATATTACCCTCTCTTAGATATGTGCGTTGAGATATAAATAGGCGGCGGTAGTTTATTTTCATCGGCATACGCACCGAATCCGAGGCGTCTAATGAGTAGCGTGGCGACCCATTTTAATAAATGAAATTAATTTTCATCATTGATATTTTCAGCGCCCAACTATATAATATTTTTTTTCATTCTTCGTAAATAGATTTACCATAAAATATTTTAATAATATCCTTTTGCTCTATCACATCAATAAAATTTTTCCTAAAATAAATTTATATTACATTAATTTGGAATGCAACAAAATATTTAGGCTATAAATATAATTAAATTATATTTAGATAGATGATAATTGTCATGAATAAATATGATTTTAAGTGTGTAAATAATTTTATATTATGTAAGTAGATAGAGATCTGCAAAGTTACCGGACGATTTAAAATAATCGGGTTCGGGCCGGGCCTAATATTTTTATTAAAAGTTCGGGCCGGGTCGGGTCGGACCTTGGAAATTTTTTTAAATATACCGAAATTTATCAATTTCATATTGAATTTGATTTTTTTTATTGAAAGAAACTAAACGACATATAACATATATCTTTTATTTTGAGTAATTATAAAAATTAATTTCTATATTTAAATAAATTCGGGCCGGGTCGGTAAATTTTTATAAAAAAAAATTTCGGGTTTGGGCCAGGCCAGCATAACTTTTTAAAAAAAAAATTCGGGCAGATCACTAAGTTGAATAAACCTAAAATATATTTGTGAAAATGCAATTACTAATTTATAAATAATAAAAGCAATAAGGAGGGTTAAGGTTGTTTACGATATTAAATATAAAATACAAGAGGCCAAAATCTTAGTCCCTGCATGTTTCATTAAATTTTTAAGGGGGGAGCATATTTGGAACAATTACTTTCTATTGAGTTGTACCCACTCCATGATAGTACCCCCTTTCACAATGGGATATTTTAACATTTAAATTAATTTTTTCATCCATTTAAAAAAAATCTTTGCAAAATTTCAGACAAAAATAATGTGATTGGCGTTAAACTCAGATAATTATGTTTGGCTCGTTTTATAACTTTCGTTTTATTCCTTTTCAAACATAGTGTCCATTGGAAACCAAAGTTCCAAAAAATAAACTGGGTTAATAATAGAGATAAATAATATATAATCTTAAGAATAATTATGGAGATTAATTCCCGTAGGTGAATCTAAAATATGTTATGAACTATATGTTGAAGTTTAGGAAATTATTTTTTTAGAAATAAAGAAATCAAAAAATAATTTGTTTATTTTTTTAAAATGTTTGTGGGTACAATTTGCCCTACATACATATATCATTTAAGGACATAATTGGCATATTTTAAGAGGTAGGGAGTAAAAAAAAATTGGTAGATATTGTGGCGGTAAATATCGGCCCATTGTAAAAGAGAAATTCTTTAAAATTAAAAATTTTAATATTGTAATCCTTTTATTTTCGAATTTTCAAATCAATAACAAAAATTACCCACTATCAATGATAATTATTTAAAAAAACCCTTTTTTCAACTAGCAAATTATTCCATTTCACTGACATATGACAGTAGATAAATAATATCCTTAAAATAATTATATTAAACATAAAAAATAAATATCATTTTTAAATCAGGGTTTCGAACTGAACCGCCAAAAAAGAACCGTTATAATTTTCTGAACCGTAACTTTTATAAATAATATATAAAAAGGGCGAATCGAACTGTTATAAATATTCTTAAACTAATTTAAACCGGTTCACAACGTTAAAGTAATTAATTTATAATTATTAACCTAAATTTTAATTTTCCTTGAGGGCAATTTAAATTTGTGATTTCTTATCAAATTAAAATTTTTTATACTTACCTATTTATCTTCATATCAATAAATACCAAGTTTGTTGTTTTTACTTTATATATATACTCAATTTAATAGGGATTAGGCAAATTACTAGTTAATTAGATAAGAAATAATCTTCATGGTTAAATATAATAAAAAATTATAAAAATATAAATCAAAAAGATTTTTCCCTAAGAGTAATATACATATATGGTTAATGATTAATTTAAAAAATTCAAATTTATAAAAATCGGAATGAACCGAAAAGAACAGTTATAATTCTAAATCGAATCGAACCTAAATGATATTCTTCAAAAAAAACCCAAATGGAACAAATTATAAAATTTTAACGAAGAATCGCTTTACTTAACGGTTCGAAACTCTGATTTAAATAATTTGATTTTTTTTATAGATCAACATATCTTATAACATGGCTAATTGGTCCACCAAAGAAATTGGTATAAATATTGGTTTGTTAATTTTTCTTTGATATTTATTAAATTTTTATTGATATTACATATTTAGTAAATAAAATTGAGATTTTTGTAAAAAAAAAATATGAAGAAATAATTAATAGGACCAACAATCAAAATGACTTCTATAATCATCCTTTTGTTTTATACTAATAAATTTATAACAAATTTCAACTGTATTAGATACGCGCCGGATTGACTACGCTAAATTCATGCCGCACCGAATTGACGTGGAACCATTTTTTACCCAAAGATTGATACATATTATATTTTTGTCCAGTGTCATTTTGTTAGGATCTTTATTATTGAGCCATTTCTGTCCAAATGCCGAAAGTAGCGAAAACTATCTTATAAAACTAGTAGCGATTATTAATAAGATAACTTTTTGAAAAGTAGCCTTAGGTAGAGCGCTACTTATTTTGAAAACGGGTGATAGAGTATTAGTTATACCACTGCCAAAAAGATATCTTTTTAAAATAATATTCACTATAAAGATCAAAAATATTATTTAAAAAAAATTAATAGCTAACATATTCTGAAATAATCTGTTGTGTTATAAAATTAATTCAAATATTTAATAAATGATTATTTTCTTCAGTTAACTTATGATTTTTGAAGCGCAGTAGCGTACTAGAGGAGGGAGAGCTCACAGGGGCTCGAGCCCCCTGAAAAATTTGAAGGGCTCTTTTAAAAATTTTGTTTTTTTTATTGTAATTTTAATAATGTTAGCTAATAAAAAGAAGATAATATTGGATGATGTTAGCTAAAGAAAAAAAAGTTAATTTTGCAGTCTATAAGTTATGACACACGAATTGGAGGGAGGCAGTGGGTGACAAAATGTTTTCTTATACCATGTGATCATATAAAAATATAATTATTTACTTTACTTTTGGCACTACAAAAATATATATTATATTTTAATTAGTTAAAATTACTCGAAAATTTGTGATTATAAATTATTAACCATTTTAAAAGAATTCAAGTAAATATAATATATTTTTAAAAAATTTACTCATCCAAATACATTTTTTTATCATTTCTATTTGATCTAAAATCCAATTATTTTAACGATTAATTATCCTATAATAAGCTATTATAACTGTTTTTTTGTAAAATTTCCAATATTTTAGATTTGTCTACTCAGATTAATATTTAAGTAATTTATCCTTCATTTGACCTTTACATTTACACATATAATATATCACCAAATAAAATTTAAAAGTTCATCATGAATGACAGAGCGTATTCTTTGTTAAACCTTTTTAAATGACCTAAGCAAATATGGAAATAACTGTTATATAATTTTTTTAATATAATAAGTAACGAGAAAAAAAAATGAAAATTTAAAATTATAAATGAAATAATAATGATAAAGGAAAAAATTTCAAACGTTGAACTTATTGAAAAAAATAATGTCACCACTGGAGAGGGTTCAACAAATAATATATTCCACAAAATGGCAAATTTGCTTAAACATATTAAAATGTTACCACTTAAGGAAAGATCCTATATATTAAACAGATGTCTCTATATAAAGAAAATTAGCATTCTAAATGGACACACAAGCGATGAAGATCTAATTGCTATCCACGGAAATGGATTCCCGAATCTTATAGAATATAAAAATTTCAACAGTGAATCTTTACAAAAAAATATTAAGCACTTAGCTCTTTTCACCATCATATTGACAACCTTCATTTCACTCATTTTTTCCAACAATGGTGGCTTATTTTTCAATGATATAAGTCATAATTTTTTTACTTTAAAAGAATTTTCCAAATTTTGGTTGACAAAAATTAAGAAATACAATCTTGATGAGGAATATTGCACTGTCGAAAGCCCAAATTATTTTGCCGATGTATTTAGACCTCCCGTCAATTGTGAAAAATGTAGGAACATTTCTGGCATACCTAAAATATCGAATATCACTCAGCTACAATTTGAATTGGAATACGCATATTCATTGCAACCCATTGTCATAACGGATGCTCAAATAAGTTGTGTGAATATTATATATAGGAAATGCATAAATATACTAAACGGTTAATATCGATGCACAAAATTGTCCAAGTCCAACCTAATCTGAATTGGTCTGCCGAATATGGACCGACATTTTCTGAGGCTTTGTGAAAATCTTTTTTATTTTCCTCTAGCACTTTTGAAAAAAAAAATATCGTAAATGTTTCGAATTTTACGATTTATATTTTAGATCGGATCGGAATTATTTAGTAAATTAATCGTTCAGCTTCTGACTCTAACCTTAAAAGTCTTCTGATCAGTAGGACAAAAATTTTAAAGATATTCTTTGGCTAGGCCAGAAACAATAGATCATTATAAAATTATTAATATTTTATTTTTATCACTAACAGATTGGACGGCCAAAAATACGTTTAATTTGGAATTCTTTAAGAATGTATACAAAGAAGGGAGTCCTGTTTTAGAGAAATCAGAGAAAAACTGTCAATTTTTTCCGTATAAAACAGAATTTAAAAGCTTGGTCCAAGTTTTTAACATGTCTAAAGAAAGGGCTAAATTGGAAGATAACTCGAAACCTTGGTATGTTGGATGGTAAGTATACGTTTGATTTAGATAAATTTAGTATTTTTAGATAATAATTTTTTTTTAACGAACTCTTCTTATAACTTTGCGATCGTGTCGAAAGCAATATTTGTTGGTTTTTAAGTGTTCAAAATGCTTTTTAAACTTTGTTATTAAGATCAATTTGTCTAGTTTAATGTTTGGTTATTTCAGATGGTTGTTAACAGGGACCCGGAGTGAACCGTAACGAACCTTTAAACCATTATAAACCGTTATAAATATCTGAACCATTCAGTTTTTATATTTTAGAAATGGAAATAATTTGAATATCCAGAATTATATAAACTTGTTCTTATAGTACTGGCGGTTCCCGCAACACAAGTTTTTGCAGAAAGGGCCTTTTCGGGGCTAAAATTTGTGTTATCGTCACAACGAACAAAAAATAGATCCATTTACATTAGAAAATATATTACTTATACGTTCAAACAATATATTTAAAAATGAATTATTTTGAATCATATATATTGTTTTTATACATAATTCATAGATACTTATAATAAAAATAAATTAGACGATCGTGTGGCTTCAAAAAAAAAAATTTCTAACCGTAATGAACTTTTATATATTTAGCTGAACCGAACCTTTATAAATTTTTTCTTTAGAACCGTAACCAAAACGTAACCATTATAATTTTTTACATACTGAACCGTAACCAAACGGAACCGTTATAAATAACGGTTCGGGTCCCTGGTTATTAATTTATATAAAGTTATATCGTTTTATATTATTTAATCAAAACACAACTATCACATAATGAACCTGGTATTAATTAAAATAATATTATAATAAATTTTTTAAAACTAATATAAAAATATTATTGTTTAAGGAGCAATTGTGATCCTGAAGCAGCGAATATCCTGAGAAATCATTATTCTCGCCCATACTTCTTACCATCTGAGTCAGAGTCAAGTCGTACAGATTGGATTTTTATGGGAAGTCCGGGATACGGAGCTCATATGCATGTATGACTGATATAAAAAATATATGCCAATTTCAATTTATAGTATATATGTATATGAATTCTTGTATGTTTTGCTTTTCTTTAATGGTTTAATAAGGAGAGTCTATCAATGTAATTTAAAAAAATTGAATGTTTTGTTTCTGTAAGAAAATTTTAATGTTTTTGATTATTTAAATTCATTTTTTTTGTTTGTTTCACAATTATATCTACAAAAATATGAATGGAATCAAATATTTGCAGTATTCGTAATGTTAAATAATTATGAATAATTTCTAATATTTAATAATAATTTTAAATATTTATAAATAATTTCGATATTTACAAATATTAACGAATATTTACAAATTATTTCGAATATTAATAATTTCAAATAATTCGATCGAATATTAGACAAAAAATTACTCGACAGATAATAAATTTTCTTAGTATAGTATAATATTAGTAACTGAATATTGAATAACTAATAATCCGTTTTAATATTCACAAACATCGGTGCTCTAAACAGAGAATTATTAAGTATTTTAGTCGATTTTAATACAAAATATTTGATCAGTTATTTGGGTTATACTATATTATAGGCTTATTCTAAAACAAATCAAATAACGAATTGAAAATCAATAAGTAGAAAATAGTAAATTATTTGATTTATTATTCTTATAAATCAAATTATTCAAATAATTGGGGTTTATATACCAAAAAATTTCATAATTTTATATTATTTTATCTGTTCACTTTCATAATATCCATATTAGAAAAATTAACGTTTATATTTACTCACCATTTTTAAAAATATTTTTAACAAATTTATGCACTTTTTCGTCAAATTTTCCAAATTCTAACTCTGAATCAATTATTTAAAACCCGAAAAGTATGAATCAATAAAAAAAATATGGTATTGTCCCGTTCTACTTGTTCTTATGTTTAATATCTAAAAAATTCTTGAAATTTACCAATGAATATATTATAATATTTATATAAATAATTTTTAAATTAATCTTAAAATACGGTTAAATAGGAAGTAAATATAATTATTATTTTTCTGCCCACGGGCCGGCCTTTATTTTATTAATAATGTAAGCCAGAGTTGATGGATCAGCCTTGATGACTCTAATAAAATTTTTATAAGAATTGTATATATTGTTTATATATTTATTAAATCTTTTAGTTGCAAATTATTAAAATATTGAATATATATAATTTATTTGCCATGAATATATATTTTTTAAAATGATTTTATTTTATTTGATACCATAAATTAAAATAATATAATATTTTATTTAAATAAAATTAAATTAAATAATTCTATTGCAAATTATTAAAATATTGAATATATATAATTTATTTGCCATGAATATATATTTTTTAAAATGATTTTATTTTATTTGATACCATAAATTAAAATAATATAATATTTTATTTAAATAAAATTAAATAATTCTATTGCTAATTATCAATTTAATTATTCGTTAGAGTATGCGAATAATTTATTATTTAAATGCAATATTCGATTAGTACATAATATATTCATAATGAAAAATTAAAATATATAGATTGATCATGTGGGTAAACCTTCATGGCAAGCTCAAATAGGAGGTTACAAAAAATGGATGTTAGAACCACCACCAGAATGTTACTTAGTTTGTAAAAATTTGGAGGTTATAATTAATCCTGGAGAAACAAGTTTTTTTTTAAAGTTTAATTTTTTTTATTTTAACTAACTTATTTAATCAATTCCAAATGTGATATTCCAGTGTTGTCGCTAGATCTCATTTAGGCATGCTTTCGGTCTCGTTAATAAAGGCAAAATACATCGATTTCGATCAAGAGATGCGCAATTTATAAAATACTTAAGGTTTTATTATATAACTAATGCTATCGTTTAGCGATAAATTACGTATCGTTTGAGCGACATCGTGGTATTTTCGCGAGAAGCCTTAGAGTATAATATTTTTTTATTTGGGTGGGATTATATGAATTATTGCCTAAATAGAAAATTTTTAAGCTAGGGGCGAAATGGCACATATTTTAAGTTTAAGCTAGCTTTAATTAAATTTTGAATGTTCTGACCTTTGAGTACCTCCTCCTATCTTTTATAAAGGGCATTAAATATAATTTTTGTTCATTTAGTTATTTCTTATTTAGCTCTTATTGATTAAATAAATGTTTGAATTACTACAAGGTATATGCAATTATGCAATATATTTATTTAAAAAATTTTATTTAAAAAAAGTCGTTTTAGATACAAATAAATGGTACCACATGACATTGGTAATTGGAAATGATATGAGTATAGTGATTGGTTCTGAATACGATTAATTGCCATCTTTCATAACGCTTAAATTTACTGATGATCTAATTTGGAATTTATCATGATAATAACTAAAGATGTTTTTACTATATATATAAATTACCTGTCATATTATATTATTATTAAAATATATGAAATATATTGCACGTATCTTATTTTAAAAGCTAAAAAAACATGCTATGACTTAGTATTATAACTAAATAGGTAGGTAGCAACTAGAAAAATCTTATATTTATTAAAACTTGTTTAACCATAATATTAAAAATTATAATTTTATATGATAATCAATATTTAAATAAAATTATATATATTTGGTTTAAACAAAAAATTCGGACTAAGAACCTGATATGGATAGTGGGGATAATATATATTAGATATTGGCGAAAGCCGGATGTTGTCCAAAAAACATAATGCAAAATTTACATTATTTAACATTTATTTGAAGAAAAGATTCTTTATGTAGCAGCCTGATTTCAACAAATACGCATATATAATGGTTAAGGTTATATTAAAAAATTGGTGTATATATACCATTTGGCGATACTGGTTACATGTAGCATGAATAATTTATACTGTCCTAATTGAATCTGAGCTATCGAGAAATAATATTATCTGAAAATAAAAATTGAAGCAGTTCAGTATGTTAGATTTGGATTCAATATTTTTTATTTTGTATATAATATAGAACATAGAGTATAAAAAGATTAAAAATAAAATATTTAAAATATATATATAACATTTAAGAAATTTTTCTATTAATTTTTGATATTCGTTTTTAAAAATTTTCACCAGTTTCTTAGTTAAAACAGAATTTGCGACGTTAAAAACGTGCCTGACACGAGCACAAGATAGAATTTCCAGTTATAATTAATGAATAGGGGTTTTATTTTAGGAGATTTATTTCAAATATTCTAATTTTTATATTATTCATTGAAAATTTTTATGCTCCGAAGCTTCTTATAAATTACCGATATTTTTTTTAAAATGCAGTAGTCTTATGCAAAGCAATCCAATTGCAACACACCAGATGTTATTTATAAAATTAATTATAAAATTACCACTTAAAATTTGAGTAGAAGTAGACACTAGTCGGAAATAATTGAAAGTGCACTGAAGTATCTGAAGGGAGGGAACAGCTGATAAACAGCCCCATAGCCACTTTCGGGGCACAGGAGCCCATGCTATCCCAAATAATAGATCTCCAAATTTGTTTCTAATGGTTTATGAAAAAAATCACTCCACCACCTTTCAAAAAATCTTTGGATCTCCCCTCAATTGACACTTCCTGGCTAAGGGCTTGGGTAGATTATTTTAAATTTAAAGAAAATTAGTCTAGTTTAACAAAAAATTTAACTTTTTATAATTGAATTGAAGGAACGTAAAAACGCATCTGTTCGTTAAATGTTCGAGTTCAGAATTAGTCTAAAATAAAAGGAACGCTAATTTTTTTTCATATTCACGAACTCATTCAAATTTTTAATAAACACCAAATTATATAATAGTAAGCATAATTATTGCAAATTTTATAATATTTTAATTATCATTTATTTTTAAATATTTAAGAAACAAAATTCTGCGGCTCTTAAAATAGTTTAATTTTGGCGGCCCTGGGCGTATGCCTTTCCAGCCCCCTGACTAATCTGCAACAATGTTTCTGAATAATATTTTTAAATTAAATTTTACAATTAAGAACTTTTCATGAACTGATAATTTATTGTGAGACTGATATTAATAGAAATTAAATTATCTCTTATAAAATAGAGAAAAAACAGTATCATCTCTCAATATAATATTGATTTTTAGTGTAGTGTTGTTTAAAAGGATCGATTTCGTTCCATATTTAAAAGGGTTTATGTTGATATGTCACGTTTTAAAAAAATAAATAATAATAAAAAAAATAAAAATATTAAAAAATATTTCCTAGTCTATTCTCACCGTTTAATAAAGCTTTCAGTAAATATCCTATATTACAATCCATTAAAATTATTTTCCAATAGAATATTATATTTTATTAGATAAATATTATTTGTATACGATAAACATCATATAAGAAAATCAAAGTTTACTTATAATTATATTAAGTTAGAGAAATATCCAAAATTTCCAGTCTTTATTTCAATTTTACTTTAAAGATTAATACCATTAATATATTAACCAGCTATTTCTGATTCAAATTTTACAAAGCTAATTCATCAAGAAATATAACTTAATTGAAAAAAATAACCTTCCTGATACGATACAATTTAAAAATATATATTCCTTTGAATATCTGTGATAATATTTATGCGGACAAGATAAAACATTTACAAAAATATTGTTAAAAATAATTTAAAAATTGTGAATTAAGCATCATAATACCCAAGGTGATAAAAAATTGTCGTTCTTTTTAATTAATTAAAAAATATTCCCCTCTTAAAATTATTTTTTCTTTTGTCTTTATCCCTTTATCTCCCCAGGTGACATAAAGCACTACAACTTAAATCTGTTATATTTTATTCTTGAATTTTTATGATGTTGGTCGGCATATAGCCGTTTGCTAAATAGACCAAATTTAATTAAAATGCAATGAGATACACTTATTAATATATTAATGAATCGGATATCGAAACGGAAATAACTAGAATAGTTCTACATAATTATTTTCTTTTCACCCATTTATATTTAAGAAATTTTCTGCCATATTTAAAATCATTTTAAATTATTTTAAATTTACCCAACCACTCGGATCCCAGCAAACACTCCGGACTAAAGTTTTCTAACTAATTTAGTCCTTCACGTAACTCTTTAGCTCAAGCAAAATACAAGTTCAGAAAAATTTCTTTACCAAACCTTACATCATGAATCTTAACTCCTCCGTTAAAACTATGCTAAACGGGTCTCTTTTCTTGTCCTCCTTAAATATTAATGGCATCAAAGATAAAATGTCAATTCTTATGACGTTATTATCAAATGACTCTACCGACATAATAGGTTTACAGGAAACTCACTCCCCCGACAACCATTCGGCCCAATTTACAAATTATATATACTATAGCTCTGGAACCACGAACAATAAATGGTCAGGTGTGGCCTTCCTTATCAAAAATAAGCTCAAAAAATTCATTATAAAATTTGTCCCTATAACCGAAAGAATTGCTGTACTATACCTGAATACCGCCTACAAACCCACCATCCTCCTCAATGTTTACGTCCCCCCTAAACTCACAGAAAGAATGTTATTCCTAGAACATCTAGATAACGTGATAAACTCCCTACCAAAAAGATACAATATCATAGCTATGGGAGACTTCAATACTAAGATAGGCCATGAGATAACATACAAAGTAAGCAATACTATAGGCCACACAACAATATATAACAGCAACGATAAAGATGGAAAAAAACTACTCCAAATATGTTTTGATAACAATCTAAAAATTGAAAACACGTTCTTCAAACACAAACCTCCTCACCTCATGACCTTCTCAAGAGGCGGCCACTCCTCCCAAATTGACCTCTTCCTATCCAATATCCATAGCTGGTTTGCAGATGTAAAGGCTATCCTAAACATAAACATATCAGATCACAAACTGATCAAAGCGCATATAATAATACGTAGTGATGAATGGAGAAACAATAATACCAGGCGCATCCATAGCACAATACGTACAACGCCAGAACAACCTACCAAATGGCACTTCACTAATATTGACAAAACAACCTATAATGAAACAATATGCTCAGGCCTAGCTAGGACCATTCAGCTCTTCCCTACCAAACCATTAGAAGAATGTTGGACAGACTTCAAAAGTGCGGTTTTCCATGCATATAATAATCTCAACCACAGCCAAATACCAAAAAGAGAATGGCTCTCAGTAAATACAAAAAACTTAATCCTATCGATAAAAAATGATAGAAGCCGTAATTTAGAACTATGGAAACGCATTCAGAGATTACTACGTAGCGATCGTAGGATTTACCTAGCAAAGAAAGCTGAAGAAATAGAAATAGATATGAGGAACAACAAAACTCATGACGCCTATAAAAAGCTCAAACACTTCTGCAAACCAGCCTGCTTTAAGAAATTACCAATACTTACTTTACAAGGAGGTAACAAATATACAGACCCTCAGGAGCAAATGGCCATCTGGACAGACTTCTATATGTCAGCCTTTGAGTCCAGGATCCCTTCCAAGATAGTGAACCCCCAACGGACAATCTTGCCATTATCCCACTCCAATTTCTCCCTCACAGAAATTAACAGAGCCATAAACAAACTAAAAAATAATAGAGCCCCTGGCTCTGATGGGATTAGAAATGAACACATGAAAGCCGCTCCAGAGAGCATTTCCAAATATCTATTAGCCATATTCACCAAAATATGGCATTCAGGCAAGACCCCAGATGATTGGAATAAATCCACAATCTGCAACTTTCCCAAGAAACTTCATCCTTCATCTTTCGCAGACTATAGGGCCATTGCTCTCACCTCCACAGTCTCAAAGGTGTTCATGGTGCTCCTGAAGAACAGAATTCTTGATTCTACCAAAAACCTCCTTTCAAGCAATATTTGCGCATACAGACCAAATAAGAACATCAACGAACCCATCCTAGCTCTTAAAATCTATCTACAGAAGTGTTTTAGATATAAACTTCCTTTTATATTTACTTTCATAGACTACAGCAAAGCCTTCGACAACGTGAAACACAATGCCCTCTGGGAGACTCTAGAAGATTGCAATATCGATCCAAACATAATTAAAATTTTGAAGTACCATTACAATAACTCTTGGGCCAAATTACAGCTAGGCCAAACTTTCTCACCTTACTTCAAGATTAAAAGAGGGGTAAAACAAGGCTGTGTACTATCACCTATTTTGTTCAATATAATCATAAACAAAATTATTAAGGAAACCACGAACACCATGAACCTAGTTGATATATCATCAAACAATAATAATATCAATCACCTAAGAATCATCTCATACGCAGATGATCTAGTTTTAATCACCAAATCAAGAGATGAGACAATAGACTTACTAACAAGTTTATGCTTTC